TTTGGAGCGGGCGTGTTCAATTTTTGGGTGTGAGTGTGTTCAATGTTTGCGAGGTGGGGTTCGATTCCCCAACGAAGTTGGTGTCTGGTGGCCCTCGGTTTATGGTGAACCCAACCCTAAGGCATTGCACTTTCAGCCATGGGTTGGATTAGGTTTGTAGATCGGCAGGCATTGCACTACCCTCACGGGAGCCTGGCCGTTCGCCTTAAACACAAAAAAAAACATCTTTGCAACTCTACAGGGAGTTGTGCCGGTAAAGTGGATGGCAGTTGAGTCCTTGACAAAACAAGTTTTTACCATAAAAAGTGACGTGTAAGTTGATGTAGAATATGTTTAGTTGTAGAATGAACTTCCCAAAACCAAAATGTTATTTACCTTACCTTACTGTATGACCTTCTACTTCTACCGCACCTAGTGATAATTAGCCCTCTGATTTTTTATTCTTATCTTCATAACTAGACTTGACAAACTCGTTTTATCGACATTTGATTTTGTTGCTTCGCTAAGGAACCTGGTTGTTTTGCTCCTAGAGAATTGTATCATGACATGCAGTCATAAGTACACCTTTTATTCGTAATTTAACCCACTGACTTCTGTCGTTTCTGCTCCAGGTGGAGTTACGGTATTGTTCTGTACGAGATTTTCACCCTCGGTAAGTGAGAACAAGCGATAAATCAGTAGCAGGTCCTTAAAGAGACCATACCTTTATCCTCTCTTGTTCTGACACATTCTACTTTATACATACATCCTTCCACTATTACTAGTCTTTTTAGAATAGTCCTTTATGTAACGATCGCAGGTGGAAACCCTTATGAGGGAATGAAGGGAGAAGAAGTACTCCAGTACATTGCAAATGGTCACAGGTTACGAAGGACCTCAGAAGTCAGCCCAGAATTGTAGGTGGACTAATAAAGTGCTGTCTTTCTTAATCTGTATTTATCTACTGCGCGCAGCGAGAACTCGGGTGCTGCGAAGTTGACCCATCACCTTAAGATTATAGGGCGTAACTCACTAAAATACTGATTGAAGTAAACTTCTAACAGGAATATCGTAGTTTACATTTAGTGACAAGTAGAGAAAAATTTAAGAGGACTTATAGCTGTTGAAAGGGAACTTGGTTATGAACTACCATTCAAATGAAGTTTCTATTTTTCATTTTATATATATTGTGCAATGTTGACCTAAATCTTTACACCCTAACATAACTATTTCATATTTTCCACGCTGCTCTCTATATTATTCCTATTGTGCTGCGAAATAGAAGTTGTTGAAAACTCAGGAGGTTCAGGTGATCATTTGCTTTATTCTGATGACCTTCATAGCTGATTTAAGACTGATAATGTAAGGAGAAATTGGAAGCCAGTCACTCTTAGAGGTTAATGGACTAAAACCGGGGAACAGTTGCAGTTTGAAAGTAGGAGGACCTGCAATCATTTCTCACTTGTTTATCTCAACTGGTCTGTGTGATTGTTTTGTTTTGTTCCTGTTGTTGTTGTTGTTGTTATTGTTGTCACTGTACGTTTTATCGTTTGTTGTTTATGCCTTTCTTCTGTTGTAGATATGACCTGATGCTGCAATGTTGGCAGGAGGACCCTTTCAGACGTCCAACATTTGGCGCGATCGCATCTTGGACCGAAACTCTTGCTTAATACCCCTGAAAGCAGGAATGCCGCTTGTTCCAAAGTGTAGTGATGGGTGCGATTCGTAAAATTATAAATGACTGTAGTTCAGAACTCGATCTAGAATCTCAGGCAAAAAATTAGACCAATGAAATCTTGTCGGATAATGGCGGATGCATCAAGTGCTACTTGAGTTCCCCACATCGACGCCTTTCCCTTGAATAGCGCAGAGTTGACTACAACTGACCGGGAGATCCTTTCCGCATCCGCTAGTCTACGGAGATCGAGTAGGTCTATATGACTGTAGAGAGTAACTCAGAGTGTAACAAAGAGAGTAACAGAGAGTAACCAAGAGAAAAATTGGCTAAAATCACAGTAGAAAGTAATACAGAAGCAAAAAAATTTCAGGTAACATAAGGAGGAATAACAACGTGAGTCTACAAACCAGTCTTGGTCGCGCAATGTCCAAGATGAGCTCGACAAGGACAACATCAGCTGAGGAGAAGCAAAAAAGAACAGCCAAAAACAGCGTCTAGTGGAGATTCATAGTTGACGCTCTATGCCCCCCCAGTAAGAGCGAACATGGCCCAATCTATACCTGGTTTACACTAGAATAAGAAGTAGTGGAAACCGTCTCTTCTAGGAGAACACCACATTTATGTTAAACGCTGAAGTTTCAGCTGAAAATAAACTAAAATACAGCGATATAATAATGTCCTCCACATAATCAGAAGCATATCTCGAACATAGACGGATTCGTTCTTTATGTAGGTCTTCTTCATAATTCAAAATTACTTGGGCGAAGAATCCAAAGGCAAGCCTTATTCCTCGATCACACGTCGTACAGTCAAAATAGAGTGGTTTAGCAAGAGGACGGGAACGTCGTTTCAGAACGGCGCGCACAGCAAAAATGTCGATAAGAAACTGGGTCGAGAACGCCGTCACGTTGTGATGAAAAGTGATTTAGCAGTCGTTGCAACGAGAATCATCGCCTCGGCTTTATAAAGATTACCATCACTTTTGAATTTTCGGTTTTATAGACCACCCTAAGGACAACGAAACTATTTTCTTTGAGAGTTATGTAAAAAGCGCAAACAGAGGATAGTTATAGATACGGCAAGTAAGTTGTTCACTATGAATCCGCATGGGCGATTAAACTTTGACACTAGACCATTTCAGTTTAGTCTCGAGTCTGCTGATTAATCTATCAAATTTTGAAGCCCACTAAATAGTTTTTTTTTCCATGATTTGTGTCGCTGTCATTTCGTTTCGTGCAACTAGATTTCAGCACTACTCGTTTTTCTTCATAATTTTGTAAAGGATAATTTGGAAATCGTCGTCGTTTTTCCCCTTGTTTACTGAATATTCTTCTCAATTATGACAGTACATCTCTTTTGAGCACCACCTTCTTAGAGTTGAAATGCATTTTGAACGGAACTATCAAGAGTTATGGCGAAACCATGTAGAAACCAAGCAACCCAACGATGGAGTTGTTTACGATGAGTTCCTATTTATCCGTGAAAGAATGAAATTAACTCAAACTATAGTCATCAACGAAACGGTTAGACTTAAAAGTAATACTTCTTTCCTGTTTTGTTATTTTTTTCGTTTTTCTTTAATTTAATTTTTTAAACAAATGAAGTCGTTTAAGACTGAATCAAATTAATAGATTTAGAAAGCTGTGCCGAAATCAAGTTGATTGTCATTTTATTTCGAAGCGAGAGCATGACTTTCTTGTCTTAGTTTTCATCGGCGCTGATAGAAAATTTCAAATATAAAAACAGTGCATACCTGAGCTATTCTCAATTTTTTCTCATCTCTGACTTCAATTCAAGTTTTCAATCACGGTAAAAACGACAATAGCAACAAATAACACTGAATAATACAGTAGGTAAGCGTCGTAATATTTCATTTACATAAACTTCAACAAGAAGCAAGTTTAATTTATTGATGAATTGATTCACGATAAAATTAACAGCGTCCCATTCTTTGAATTTTTTATACGGGATTAAATAAATGTATCAAAGAACAGTCCTTTCGCTGCTTTAAGCCTTGCTCAATTACAAGTATACTGAATCCTAAAATCTTGGATCCGGCGCTTGCCAACGATTGTATTTCCTTTCGGGAATTCAACTTAAATGAAGCGGTTAATTTTCCCAAAATATACCGTATAAACCAAAGGAAGGGACCAGGTTATCCTGGAATTGAGTTCTGAAATAATTCCAAAAAGCATTATCTCGTTTATAAGCGCGCAATTTACGCAAATCCCAGGCGTTTTGATCGCGACGGGAAAACCAGCGTAATGACGTCCTGCACTTGTTGGGGAGAACGGAAACGCTAGCACCGGAAGTCGAAATAGAGTCGTGTCCAGACTATCCGCGCGCTTTCCCACTCTGAAATGACGTTCCCGTCCTCTTGCTATATCACTCTAATGTTGCGATCTCCACTGCAAAAAGGGACCAAGCAAGCGTTTCCGTCATATTTAGAGAGGTTCAATCAGACTAATACTTCAATTGTGAGTTGTAGTGGAACGAAAGGGCACTATTAGAAATGTGCAAATGGCTCAAAGTTTCATCAAAGGATTAAGCAAACGTCGCGTATTAATGAATCATTGTCCTCTTGGTAAATTAAATTATATTTTTCTTTGTGTTCTTGTACCATGATATCGCTATCAATAACAAGCGGTATGAAAAGCCAGTAGAGATTGCAAGAACAGGTATACGCCATCCACTCGGTACAGCCTTTTCTTTTCCGTCGTAAGCTAAAGGTGGGCGAGATAAGAAAGTTGAATAGATTAGACAGTAATATTTTCAGAATATGTATATCGGATTGTGGATCCTATTTTTACATTCATAAATAAGGTAGAATTTTCTTCTCAGTAAAGGCATATTGTGTTTATATAATAAACAAAATAATACACCGTTGCTCGTAGAAATGGAATTTCTCTCCACGTGTTCAACTCTATATCTCACTCGTTCGCCGCTATCAAGTTGAAGAGCTGAAAAGGAATTCCATATCTGTGCGCACCCATGCATTATTCCATATTTATAACTTTGTAACTCGAAACAAAATCACTCATTTAAAGCAAAAAGTCTCCAGGTTTGCTTGACTCTTCACTTTTATGGTCGGTCCTCACTGCTCCTCAGCCACGCTGCAAAGTTAATTTTCATACTCGTACTCTTCCAAGATTTTTCTCGCTAAAATCTAAGTGATGCCTCCCGATTCTCATTTTTATTCTCTCTTTCGCATCCTTTCCTTAAACAAAAAGTACCTTTTGCCTTTTAAGAAAGCCGTGGAATGCACTTGCTAAAAACGTCAGGGTAACAGTACAAGCCGTTTTTCAATGAGGAATCTTAAATAGAAATAAGTATTCCAACGGGCAGTAAACTTACTGGGCCGACTAATGTGGTTTTCCACTGTACCGTTACTCTTAGGGAGCTGTTCACTGGGCTTGTTCTCCTCGGTGGTGATGTGGTCTTCTGTATGTGGCATGTGGCAGGGACACCGTTGGAGTCATTGCAGTTGGGCTCCTATCTCGCAGTAAAAATTCTGTAAAAATAAAATATATGTTAAACGTCTGTTACACCCTCTAGATACTGTCCATATTACGTATTCAAGAGTACGAGAGAAAGTACTCAGCTTACCTTTCTTATAGACTTTGATCCATAAGGTGTCTATTTTGTCGTCTGATTTACGATAAACAGATATTAGGTAGCTTCCAAAATAAGGATCTGAGATATTTCTCATTATAATAATGATGTCATTAGATGCATTCACAGTCAGTGAGTAGTGTTCCTGACATTCCGTTTCCGTGAGGAATACATCTTTGTAACAGCGGTATTCTCCATTCCGAAATCTCCCAATAACATTGGAAGCGTTGCTGATTGCCATTACAATTCGTTCAATATCATGTTTTCCAACTGACGACCATTTAATGGTAATGTTTCCACACGGAGTTACTGTTGAGAAAAAAATTATGGTGATCAGCAATTCCTTAACCCTTTCACTCCCAATATCTCATTATTAATTCTCCTTACTGGCAGACAAACAATTCTTATGTGGTCAATTCGAAGAATTTGGTATGGGTAAACTTGTAGTTGTCGATATTTCTTCATCATCCAACCGGACCGAGAAGAGTAAGAATAATGTGGGAATCAATATTGGACAGTCGGTTATTTTGAATTGTACTAAAAAAAATGTTTAGCTGGTTGGCTGCAAGTGCCTGGCTTTTCTATCCCGCCTAATAAGAAATGACAAAAAATAGAGCAGTTGGATAAATAGAGAATAATACATGGGCGCGCGTGGATGTGGAATTTCTCTTCGAGTGTTTAACTCGATAGCTCACGAGTGAGCGCAGCGAACGAGTGAGATGTCGAGTTGAACACGAGAAGAGAAATTCCATATCTACAAGCAACCATGTATTATTTTGTTTATCATATAAACAGAATAGCCCTTCACTGAGAAGAAAAGCCGACCTCATTGATTAATGAAAATAAATGAATCGACAATCCTCGATTAACAATCGTAAAGTGCGTTGGCGCAGACTCTTAAGATGGAAAAATGCGTTGAATCATGATTACAAAAACAACAATGGTCGTAATTTTCGATTTAAAAAATTCCTATTTATTGACTTTGTCCTTACCGACAGAAGAAGTCTTTCAGGTAAACGGCCAAAATCGGCCAGTGGCAAATCTTCCGGTTGTCGATTTTCATTATCAGCCGAGAGAAATGTTAACGCCAAAGCCACTAATACGCAACTTTCGGTTTTCCTTTTAGTATATTGGTTTTCTTCCTCTTCTAGGAAAGTTTGAACCTCATTGTTTGTCAGCGATACGGACTTTTTAGTGTTTTAGTCGCCATAATTCCAGGAAGCTCCGACAAACAACTTGTAATTGAGAGTCGTGAAGACTTTGCTGTTCTTTCATCAACCTGACCGAGTGGCGCCAAAGGCGAGTGACGTGTAAGCAGCTAATTGGGTATATCAACACACGTGAAAAAATACGACATTTTTTCACGTGTGTTGTTACGGCTTTCCTCAGGGCCGGAAATTCTTGTATAACACCGCAGTTTATGTGATAAAAGGATTTAATACTAAGAATGTCCACAAACTCGACATCTCACTCGCTTGCTGCGCTTATTGGTGAGATATCGAGTTCAACACTCGAAGATAAATTCCATATTTACACGCGCCCATGTATTATTCTCTATATATCGTGCGAAAATCGAATTCTATAATTGTTTTATTATGCATTTTTAAACAATCTGCTGAAGAAGACACTTCTCTCTGAGTTTACAAAAATTGAAACCACTACACGCATGAGAGGCCTGGAAACTAGACAACATGTTCATAATAAATCCAATTTCCGCTACAGATATTGGATTATCATGTCAGCTTTACACGCTATTGTATATTGATTGAATGATATCGACCAACCAGACTTTTTTTAGTGAGTCTATGTATAAAAAATATTTATCACTTGACAGAGGAGAGCCACCCAGTTTGCATCCATGTTACAAAGAGGGTGTCGATGGAGTTAATCACAATTTCCTGGTGTCATAAATTAAAGAAAGGAGTACTTACCACCAACCATCACATTATTGCCATTAGAATCAAGATGGATATGCTCAAGTGCTCTGGTAAAGTTGGCTACAAAATGAATAACAACAACCAACACATGAATTAAGAATTACAAGAGAACGAACTAACAAGACATTGAACAAAAAAAAACAACAACAACAAAGACGAAAATGAGTGCTTTTAACTCTCATAGATTGTTCTAGTATAAGTTTTGGCATAATTTGGCCAAAGGAGCATAATTTTTGCTCTTTTTATGAAAATAGCACCGCTAGCATGTTTTAATTTTTTTTTTTTTTTGGGGGCGGGGAACATTACCAGGGTCATGACTATTTTAATTAATTAGGTCTCTAAGATTGAAAATTTTTGAGTTTGGTTCAAAAATTCAGTTTCAATTTTGAATGTCTTGGGAGAGGAAAGGTACCGCAGTACTGAGTCGACCTTCGTTTGGGCACACCGGAAGTAAAGATTGCGAAGATCCCACTTCCCGCCTTCATAGGTAACAAAACGGCGTCGAAAATAAACATGATGCTGACATGGTACATTTTGACACATTAAGTCACCGCTGGAATTAATTGCAGTAGTTAATTGTGTTTTATAGGAGCAAGTATGTAACTCAGAATAAAGAGGATATAATTCTATATTTGCGATGAATATTTAATTTGGACTTCATTTCTGTCTCTTCTTCGAAAAGCATATTTTAATAAAAAGTAGCATAATTTTCAAAAACGAGCATAATTTTGAGCATAATTTGAGAAAAAAAACATCGGGCAATGCTGGTGGCATAATATGCTACTTTTACCAGAAAAATCTGTAAGGGCCTACTCTAGCTAGTCTACAGATATTTGAACAGTTTTTTTTTCCTTTTTGTTTCAACACTACGAAAAAAAAAGCCCCACCAGAGTTACTACAATAGGAGGTGAAGCCACCCACGCCAAGTGGATGTAAGATGGCAGGAGGGTAAAAGATGAACTAGATGAACTACCTTTCTAGTGCGTAAAAGCATAAAATATTAACAGATACTATTATTTGCCCAAGTTCTTTTAGAGGAATAATACGTCTCAGGTATAAAAACGGCCATCGATCCATAAGAAAATGGAAAGGGACAAGTGCCAAATTTATCAACATTTCCTAGAAATGAAGAGGTCAAGTTCAGGGTGAATTAAAGCTTTATTTCGCATCTATTGGATACCCCGCTCAGTTATAAGATAAGAAAACTGTATCAAGTTTGAAAGCCAACTTTCTGTTGTAAAGCTAGGAAATTGTTGTTGATTTCCTTCTCCTGCCCTAAATACTTGTTCGACATACTTGCATTTACATTTCGATTTACTAAATTTCATGTATACAAAGTGAAAGAGGAAGCTGCGTTTGATGGCCAGATGCAGTTTGAAAAATGCGCCTGGAACCTGCTTAATACATTCCCTTTACAAGTAAGAAGTGTTCTTGTTCCGAATTATTGAGGAATTCGTTATTCAGTAAATGGTAAACAAAATTGAAAATATCAGATCGCATATATGGGATAGCTTGACTACAGATCGAAGCCTCCTGATTTTCAGTTGGCAATGAGGTTATTTTGATTAAAATTAATTCCATTGAATCTTGATGAATGAAAGCAAATTATTGGTTACTATATCATACACCTACTCATACTTGTTGCTGCAAAAAGACAGGCGACATAAAGGACTTCTTTCGACCATCGGTCCATTTTGTTCATTCAGCCGTCAGTAAGTTTATCGGGTGCTCCTTGGTGCAAATTCAGATTCTCCGGCACAAACGGTCACTCATTGTTACCGAGCAACAGTCAATAAGTCTGAGATAACTTTGATAGACAAAGAAGTAGTAGTGTATCTAAACTGTTGAAGTGCCCAAAGATATAACTATCCTCATGTGGCTCTCATATATTTCTTAGAATCGTGGCGGAAATCGTCAACTAAAGCATTGTTTTGTATGTTTTTGCATTGTTCTGATGTTTGATATTTGCATTGGCTTAAGTTCAAAATTCGGTAAAGTGAAAGTAACACTGTCTGGCAGCAAAGCCACTCAATAAAAAGACGTTACGGCTTCGAAGCTGCCACCATTTTCCTTTCACAGTGTTCCAGTTATATGTTTTTGGTGGTAACGGCTGCCAGAACTTTCCAAAACATTTTATGCCAATCACGACTGTTTAGTCTCGTTATGGATGAAAGACGACAATATTTACATGTTCCATTCTACAAACGGAAGGCTATGACCTTTCTCTCACAACAATAAAAATAACTATGAGATGGCAATCTTGGAATTATTTGCAGTGAGTACGTGCGAAAGACTTTTCGCTCTGACGAAGGGCTTACGCGAAACTTCTCAGTTGAAACTCTTCACAGTGGCCAATTTACGTTGTGTGTGTTACGACTGTCATGGAACACGAAATGACGAAGATCACGTTTTGCCTTCTATTTTGGATGATACTTATGGACGGAGGTAAGTGTGACAAAAAAAATTCTAGTTTCGTTATTTCGTGCGAGGAACAAACTCTCGTGGTCGTGTTATTTTGCGTACTCATTCATTATTTTCGCTGCGTCAGCTAGGACGCCCATCCTGACGAAAATCGTGTTATATTTAACAAATAGAGAAGCCTTGACCGTGCTCTGTTCTGTTGTAAAGCGTTCAGGATGCGGCTAGAGCACGAAATGGGTTTCACTACCCATTTTGTGTTTCTTTTAGTCGCGTTCGACTGCGACTGCTCAAGTAGTTTTGTCAAGTCGTTTTCGACAGAGAAAGGTGGTTTTCTTTCTTTCTCCTGTTTATCGTAACTGTCCACAGCCTCGACAAGACTTTTTTCGAAATCTTCGTTCACCCAGTCAGCTAAAAAATATCGTCTAAATTTTCAAAACTTTCCGTCATTTTAGAATAACAGAGAGCAAAGGTTTTAATGATGACGTCATCTATGCGTCTGTCCTCCAATATATCATAGGTGAGAACCAATCAGAATGCGTGCATAACTGAGCTTATTATATAAAATAAGATAGCTCACGGAATTCCATCTTGTTCCAAGTTAGGAGAGGTACGTTTTTATTGTGGGGAGGGGGGGGAGGGTGGACCGGGGCTTCGGAGGGGAGGGTTACTAGTAAATTTTCTACAACTTGGGGAGTGTCAAACCCGTTTTATTTGCAACCGGGGAAGGACCACAGTTTTTTTTTGGCAAGGAAATATCGCTTAGTTGACTTATATTTGTTGACAAACACGCGAAGTGTATGGAAACCTAAAACTTGTATATACAAGCAAAGCTACTAGTCAAGATTGATCTAAATTACTTACAGATATCGAAATATCATATCAAAAATCTTCTTCCAACTAACATAATCGTCTCTACTCTTTCTTAGGAAATTGATAAAAATAAAGACTCTGATGC